GTGTCTGTGAGTGTATTTGTCTGTGTGTGAGTGTGTCTGTGTGTGTATGTGTGCGCGCATGTGAGAGTGTATCTGTGTGTGTGTATGTGAGTGTATGTGTCTGTGTATGTCTGCGTGAATGTGTGTCTGTGTGTGCATGTGTCTGTGTGTGTGTATGTGAGTGTATGTGTCTGTGTATGTCTGCATGCGTGTGTGTGTGTGTGTGTGTCTGTGTGTGCATGTGTCTGTGTGTGTGTATGTGTCTGTTGATTAAGAGTGTCATGGAGTCCAAGCTGACTTTAATAACTAACTTCGAGCCCAGTAGGTAGCTGAGGTAATCTTTAGGTCCTAATACTCCTGACTTCACCTAAGAGCTGACCACTATGCCTGGTATGATAATCCCGTCTTTAAAAGAGAGTGAACAGGGGTAAAGCGGTAACTCAGTGGTTAAGAGAACTTGATGCTTTCCAGAGGATCCAAGTTTGATTCCAGCTCCCATGCCAGGCGTCTCACAAACACATGTAACTCTAGCTCCTGGGGGATCTGATGCCTCTAGCCTGAGCGCACCTGCATTCTTGTACATATACCCACACGCATATACACAATTAAAATGTCAAAAATAATTTTAAAAAGTTAAAAAGGGCCGGGCGTTGGTGGCGCACGCCTTTAATCCCAGCACTCAGGAGGCAGAGGCAGGCGGATCTCTGAGTTCGAGTCCATCCTGGTCTACAAAGCGAGTTCCAGGAAAGCCTCCAGAACAATAGAGAAACCCTGCCTCGAAAAACCAAAAAAAAAAAAAAAAGTTAAAAAGGTACTTTTTAATATATATCCATATAAAATTGTTATGCAGGAAGCTTGGTCCCCAGCGTGATGTTGGCACAGTGGCCTAGAAAGGAATGATGGTGGTCTCAAGGAGATTAGTCCCTAGGAGAGGGCTGGAAATCTTAAGAAGGAGCCAGGGCCACCTCCCCGCAGTCTCTTGCTATCCTTCTCTTCACGTGATTCCCCTTTTTTATGTTCTCACCGTGATGCCAGCCCCTAAAGTCATGGAGCCAAAAGACCCTCGCTAACAGATGTTACGGCCACACCACTGGACATCTAAGGCTGTGAGCTAGATAAACGTCTTGGCTTTACATACCATAGTGTCCAGGACTTTGCTACCATTACAGAAAACACACAGAGTTTTCTGCAAATGGTGGGGAAAACACAAACCAACCATTATAGCCTCTCCAAACAGCTTTGACATTCCTATTACAACAGGTACCAACAAAATTGAGCCTACAGTACTTAGTGGGACTCCTATGAATTGATTAAATGAGAAACCTAAAGCTCTATAGAGTTGCAATTCGTTCTACTTGAAGTTTTTTGAAGCATTTAGATTTCAGATTTCCAGGTTAGAAGCGCTCGGCATATTTGATTTAGTAGTACTGTGTAAAAGGAGATACCTTGGAGAAGACAAATTGTCATTGCCAATAACTTAGGAATCTTATTTAAGTTATCGCTGGTATTTCACAGATCTGCATTGCTTCAGTTTTCTATGAATAGTTTCATTTTTCCCTCAGGATAGCTTGCATATTAGAGAAAAATCAAGCTTTTACAGTCAGAAGGAATCAAAATCCTGGCTTATTAAGCATTATGATTTGGGATAAGTTGGTTACATTTCAATTTCCTTTAAAAAAAAAAAAAAGCCGTGAGGTGGTGCTACACGCCTTTAGTCCCAGCATTCGGGAGGCAGAGGCAGATAAATCTCTGTGAGTTCAAGGCCAGCCTGGTCTACAGAGCAAGTTCCAGACAGGCTCCAAAGCAACACAGAAACCCAGTCAAAAAAAAAATCTAGAATGATTAATGATACCCCAAAACATTGCTAAATCTCAAATATCATTCTGAATGCTTTTCCAACACTAACTTAGCTCAGAAAGCAACAGTGTCTGTACTACAGTTATCCACAAACACAGCAGTGTGTGGCTCAAACTGGTATATGCTCTGTTCTTGTGTTGCTGATGGGGGTAGGGTGGGGGGCATAGTCTCCAGTGCAGCCTTGACTGGCCTGGAACTCACCTGTGGGGCACCCTTTTGCCTCTGCTCTGAGGGCTTACAGACTAGGTTCCTGACGTACTCTACACTGTCTCTTAGAAGAGATTTAAAGTGTCTCTCACGCTACACTTTGTTGGTTTTTAAGAAGACGGATGTCCCTGCAGGGCTTCAGTTATTCTGTATAGATAGGTGATTCATATGGATCTCATTCTGATTGGAGTCATGTATGTATCTGACCTCCTCTTTTGTCCCATGACTCTCTGAGTGCCGAGCCTGCATTTTTAAGAAACAAATATAGCCTTTCCAGCACAGTAGAAGAGCCACTGGTCTTTCGAACCTGATTTTGAGACCAGTAATGTTGGTGGGCTCCAGGGTTTTACTGTTCGAATTGTTTGATTGATATTCTTTAACCTTCCTTTTTGGCCTCCTTGGTTGTGATTTACAGACATGGGGCTGGAGGCACTTTACATGTCACTTCCAACACAAGTCTACATTTCTAATCCCATCCTAACCACTCTCTTCCGGTCCATTTCCAACACAAGTGCAGCTTCAAAAATGCAAACTATATCTTCAACTGTTTTCTATTAGCTACTGCCTTGTGTTCATTTTTAAAAAAGAATAAAACAAAAATACTCTGTATTTCCCCGTTAGTTAAAAAAGAAGATAAAAGGTTGGGCATGGTGGCGTACTCAGGGGGCAGGAGGATACAGATCTCTGAGTTTGAAGCAAGCGTGGTCTACGTAAGGAGACCCTGTCTAAGAACAAAAGCCAAGGACAAGTGAGATGGCTCAGCTGTTTAGGGAAAGGGAGTTTGCTGGCTGCTGCCAAGCCTGAAGACCTGAGTGTGACCCCAAGGACTGACACGGTGAAATCCGGAGAGAACCAACTCTTGTTCTCGCCTATGTTCTGCCGTGCACAAGTGTGCACGCATGCGGGCAAGCAAAACAAAATTACGGAACTGCTAATCCCCACACTGGGAGGTGTAGGGGGGGGTGAGGGTATAGACTGGACCAGGAAGACCACTGTGAGTTTAAGGCCAGCCTGGACTACATGTATTCCAGGGTCAGAGTGCTGTCCACTCTCAAATCCAAGCAATCATCTGCGTCTTATTATGTTTATCTTTCTTTGGATCCTTTATGAAGGGATCTTCCGGACCCTTATTCCTTACTTCTAAAAACAGTGATCCTTCATCGGGACACAAATGAAACACCAGACCCAAGCATTAGTTCAAACAGTCTACTTAACTAAAAACAGAATTTTGTCTTCATTTTCTAAGGAAGTTCATACTGTTGATACTTTCTTTTTTTCTTTGAAGGTTGAAGAGGGAAAAAAAGCTAAGAACCACTTCATACAGAAAACTGCTGTGCAATGTGAACTATGGGAAATAAAACTCAAGTCTGCCCCTTTAGTGATTCGTATTTTTTTAGCAACCCAACTATGTTAAAATATTCCACTTATCTGAAAAAGAATACTCATGCTAAAAGCAACGTTCCAAATGGGGAGATTACACAACCAATCAATGGGACTAGAGAGAAGGCTCGGAGGGTAGCAGCACGTGCTGCTCTTCCAGAGGTCCCGCTCGGAGGCAGCTCACAGCCATCCATAACTCCTGTTGAGAGGGCCCCTTTTCTGGCCTCCACAGGCACGAGACACAAGTGTTCTGTACATAAAAACACGGAGGCAAAACATTCATACCCATTAAATAAATGAACGAATCTTAAAAAGTAAATGTCTTCGATCTTTGGAGACGGCTATTCCCTGCCACAAATCAAATAAGAATTTCTGTATGTACTAACTCAATCTATTATCAACAAATATTTACTGAGTGCCCGGGTCAGGCAGTAAATATGATCCTATGGACTACCGAGATTAATTCTTCAATCTCCCCCTTACTGTCTCAATCTACAAGTACCGGTTATAGCGTCTTTTATGTCCCACTGCCTTGCATAATGCTAGATCTTAGTGAAAACTCAGCATTTAATGAAGTGTGTGATGATACAAACGACGAAGAAGTTGGTGAAATACAAAAGCGGGAGTTCCTCACCTGGAACAACCTCCCTGGCCAATTCGGGCCACCAAAGTCAGAACGAGATTAGAATCTTTCACTGACGCTAAGAATAACAACAAAATGCCAAAAACTTTTGAATGTTATTTTTTCTGATAACGTTTCTCTTGGATAAATAAGAGAAATCTCTTACGCTACAAAAAAAAAAAGGAAGTTAAACAATGCCAAAAATGAGTGAGATTTGAAGGCCGTTAGGTAAGATGTTATAAAAATGGGAAACTGACCGATGTACAAGCCAACGACTTTCCCTATGTATGACATTAGGTTTCAGGCCAACTCTTAGAGAATCAGTATTAAGAAACAACAAGGGAATGGGGATACAGCTCTTGGGTAGAGAGCCTGCCTGGTGTTCGGAAGTCCCTGGATTCCGTTTGTAATGGAAGAGAGAGGATTGGAGGGAATGGGAGGGGATTGGAGGGAGGGGCGGCGACACACCAAAACAGCAAGAGGAGCAAAGAGAGGAAAAGGAGAAAAATGCATGCTGAGATACGCATTTCGGCTTGGTCTTAGTGGCACGACCTACGAGTTGAAGCAACTGACAACACAGTCTGCGCGCCCACGCGCCGGGGCGTGCACGTTTGGCTACCACAATTCGCCGTCCGGCGCGAGGGGTTTATTGTTCCCGTCTTCAAAGTCCCGAGCAAGCAAACATCCTGCCTGCCGCAGCCTTTCCTGGGCGCCACAAATCCTTCCGTCAGCGCGGCGCTTTGGAGGAGAGGAGCATCAACGAGTGCTTAGGAGGGGCCCACTGGGGACTTGGCACCCCTGGCCGCAGCCCACGGTCCTCCCACGGAAAAGCGCCGCCCAGCTGAGCCCTGCGAGGGGCCGCGCGGGCCACGCCCGGATGCGCGGCCGCCCAGGCCCCCGGCCGCCCGGCTCGCGGGCGCAGGGTGGAGACGGACGGGGTGCGGCCCGGCCTCACCTCCACCGCCTGGCCCAGCTCCAGGTCGAAGCCCACCACACACACGCAGTGCAGCCAGGCTGAGAAGCCGTCCCAGCGCAGCAGGCCCCGGCGGCCCTCCTCCTCCTCGTCGTCCTCCAGCGCCGCTCCCGCCGCCGCGAGGACCTCCGCCTCGCGGCCCTCGGCCCCCGCCTCGTCCAGCGACCCCCGGGAGCCGGGTCCGAAGACCGCCGGGCCCCGCAGAGCCATCCACCACCCCGTCTCGGCTCCGGCCGGCCGTCTCCACCGCGGACCGCGCCGCAGAGCGCGTAAGGCCCCCCGCGCACGCGCACCGCGGCGCTGCTGCCGCGGACGCTCCCGAGCCGCCGCCGGAGTTGGGGGGGGGGGAGTGCGAGGCGAGGCCGCGGGTCACGTGATCCTGGGAGCGCGGCTCCTCCGGCTGGGGCGGCGTACATGGCCTGCTGGTGTGTTACAGCTCCCTGAACTGAACCGGTGGCTCGGGAACCATCACCTCGCCTCCCCAACAGCGAAGCAATGAATTATTCTCGGAATGACACCGATGATTACCCTAGTATTACTGAAAACAGAGTGCTGACAGCAACTAGCGCTTACCCTTAAGCTCTGAACTCTGTGCCAGTCGATGAGCCGAGTTCAAGTGTTAGGTTTGTTGGGCATGTCATCGCGAGTAGGTGGACATTGTGTCTCTATCTTGCTCTATCTTGTTTGTTAATGTTGGGTAGGTTTTTCCTTCTTTTTTTAATTTTTTTTTTAATGTAGTGCGGGCTGGCTTCCACCTTGTGGTACTGCTGCCTCCCAAGATGCTGGGTTTAGTGGCGCTGGCCACCACGTCTAATGCATTTCTCCTCGCCGAAAAGGAAACTGAAGTTCTGGGGAACTCATAACTAGTCCCAAAAGTCTAAGAACTCTAATGCGAGCATGTGTTCACTCCTGCAGTCCGCTGACACAGAAATGTGTACTTTCACCCAGCTGTACCCAGGCAACTCCCATCTTTATTGGTCTGGCTGACTCACTCAATTCTCCCATCTCCAGACTTTCTTAGAACCCCAAGTTGGTGAAGTCACCTTTGGAGCGTGCTCTCTGAACACTGGGGAAAGGGCCCGGTTTCAAACTACGTTGTCAGAGATCAGTCAGCACTAGGCTGGGCACTCAGGAGACACCTGCCCTGGTCAACTGCTGTTGGCACAGCAGGGTACCACTGAATAGGATTTATTCAGTACTTACTGGGATTTATTCATCAAAAGTAATTAGAAGAGCCGGTGGGGGGTGTGAGGAGTGATGCACGCCTTTAATCCCAGCACTCGGGAGGCAGAGGCAGGTGGATCTCTGTGAGTTCGAGGCCAGCCTGGTCTACAAGAGCTAGTTCCAGGACAGCCTCCAAAACAATACAGAGAAACTCTGTCTCGAAACCCCTCCCCCACCCCCCTAAAAAAATAAGAAAACACAGCAATACCCAATAGGAAAGTGTGTAGAAGACAACTGCATTTTTCAAAAACAGCCTATTATTTGTGCTTTTGCCCACATTCCCATTCCTTAGCCTCTTGACAGCCTCAAAAGACAGTGCTATTATTGTTTCCATTTTACACAGGGCAAAACTGGGGCTCCAAGTGATGATGCTGTCATAACTAGTAGGCGGCAGATCAGATTTAAGCCCGGGTTTTTCTGATAGATGAGAGTCTCACAACAGGCCAGGCGGTGGTGGTGCTCGCCTTTAATCCCAGCTCTCTGGGAGGTAGAGGCAGATGGATTTCTGAGTTCAAGGCCTGCCTGGTCTACAGAGTGGGTTCCAGGACGACAGCACAGCCAGGACTGCACACAGAGAAACCCTGTCTCTTAAAAAAGAAATAAAAGTCATCACAGAGGGATGGGGAGTGAGTAAGTGGTTGGGGGTACTTGTGGCTTTTGCAGAGGGCCCCGGTTCGGTTCCCGACACTGATGTGGTAGCGCACAGTTATCTGTAACTCCAGTTCCAGGGGATCTGACGTACTCATTTCCAAGGACACCAGGAGCACACGTGGTACACAGGCATGGATTCAGGGAAGACACTAAGACACATGAAAATACTTGACCATCAGAGAGATGGCCACGTAGTCTCAGTCATCAGTAGCAGTATATGCCGAGGATTTTAAAAAAGACATGCATTATTTTTTATTTTATATATTTAAGTCTTTTGCCTTTGTGTATGTATGCGCCCTGAAGTGGAGTCTGGTATCCACAGAGGCCAGAACAGGGTGCCAGCCAGATCACCTGGAGTCAGAGTTCAAGGGGGTTGAAAGTTCCCATGTGAGTGCTGAGAACCAATCCTTAGTTTTCTGCAAGAACAGCAAGTGTTCTTAATCAATGAGTCATCTATCTCCCTAGCCCCACGTGGAAACTTTCTATAGCACAGAACATTCACTAGGGACAACACTTAAATTAGAAGCTGTCTTTGACCAAAACAACCTGCCCGTTACAGAGAACCAGCATAGTTCTGAAAAAAAAAAGTCTGCACTAAAGAAAGGCTCTAAACTACTGTTTGAAGAAAACTGTTTTGTATTGGAAAGAACAGTAGGCTAGCAATAAAAAAAAAATCTGTGGTCCAGGAGTAGCTCCATCCATTATCATGGTAGACAAGCAGCTCCAAGAACTAGTTTCTTTTTTTTTTTTAAAGATTTATTTACTATGTGTGCAACATCCTACCCCCACATATGCCTGCACACCAGCAGAGGACACCAGATCTCATCACAGATGGTTGTGAGTCACCATGTGGTTGCTGGGAATTGAACTCAGGAGCTCTGGAAGAGCAGTCAGTGCTCTTAATCACTGAGCCATCTCTCCAGCCCCCAAGAACTCGTTTCTGCACTGATAAATGGAGATGATAATGACTAACCTGCCTCACTGACCATTAAGAAGAGATGAGTGATCCCATGCACACACTACTGTATGCTACTTTATTATTAATGATTAATAAGTGCTAATGACCAGCTGTTCCGCAGTGCCGGATCTTTGACCTGTGGACACAAACTACCATTCTTTGAAATGCTACCTTTGTTTGTTTGAGATACAGTTTCTTGATGTATTCCTGGCTGTCTTGGACCAGGATAGCCTTGAACTCAAAGATCCTGCCTCTGCCTCCAGAGTTCTTGGATTAAAGTCTGACACCGCTGTTCCCGGCTGAAATACTATTATATTATTTGGTGAAGGGCATCTTGTCCAAATGGTGCATTCTGAGAATCACATAGTAAGATGGTCATAGGTCTAATGAGGAATTAGGCACACCAAGTATCTGGGTTTTATGACAAAAACATACATTCACACTACTACTTCATAAACCTTTATACAAAAAGTTCTATAAACACTGTTAGTATGGGTTTGTTTTGTCTCCATGCTTATAACTTTGATACTCTCCCATGGCGTCTGTTTATAAGATTTTATTATGTTTACTTATTTGTTTTGAGGGGTACAACCTACTACAGCTTGTATATGGTGGTCATGGGATAACTTTATGGAGATGTTCGCTCCTATTCTGTGGGAGTCAGGTTGCCAATGTGGCAGAAAGTGCTTTCATGCACTAAGCCGTATTGCTCTGTGATCCAGCGTGGTTTCTGTGGTTAATCCTCACATGGGCTCTAGAAGAGGGAATGGTAACACATTCTTTCTTCTTAAAAGTTGTCATCAGAGCCGGGCGTTGGTGGCGCACACCTTTAATCCCAGCACTCGGGAGGCAGAGGGCAGGCAGTTCTCTGTGAGTTTGAGGCCAGCCTGATCTACAACAATACAATAGAGAGTTTTCCAAAACAATACAGAGAAACCCTGTCTCGAAAAACAAAAAACAAACAAACAAACAAAAGTTGTCATTAGAACCACACTTCCCATCCTATTTGTGAATCAGATGCTGGGTCAGCCAAGCCCTTTTAGAATGCACACACGTAGTTGCTCTTGAATGCAAACAAAGCACTGCTTCTCAGAGCTGCTCCTTTCTGAGTGTTCACAGGGACTAGGGAAGTCTTCCTCTCATTGACTACAGCTCTTCTAAATGAAAGCCCCGTAGATTATTTCAGAATAGTCATCCTATACTCCCACGTCTTCTAGTTTCCAGGGTGAATTACCCCGAGTCCTCCACCTGTCCCTCAAAGGATTCCAGCAGTTCATCATCCTGTCACCCAACTTAGGTGAACTTAATTTTTCCAATCGTTTTTGAGACACAGAGGCAGATACCATTCTCTAGGTGTGAGCTCACCCCAGCAGAGTGAACCCTGGGACTATACCCTTCTTCGTCCTGGCAGGGAGGCTTATGTTAGTGCCGCTTCAGATCGAATTTGCTTGGTTTGGCAGCCAAACACTTCCCTGGCTCAGGTTATGTTTCCTGTCAACACAAGGCTTTCTGCTCTTGGTGATGTTTTTTCCCCCACGTGAAAAGCAGTTAAGTCAGGGTAGGTTGTTTGAGCCAAAAAAACTGATTGAGTTCATGGCTTTGCTGCTCTTCTAGTGTTACCAAGAACACTGAATACAAGATTAAAAACATTCCAGACTCCCCCGCTCACCCCTAACCAAATTCCTGGTATTTAAGAAATTTTCGTAGCTTAAAAAAAAAGGAAAAGGTGAACATGAGACAGGATGTGATTTGCAATGTCATGTTTTAGAGCCTAACTTTTACCAAAAGGGCCTGAAGGAAGACTAAATGTCCTAGACATTCGCTTGCCTGGATAGCTAGATCTCCTTCTTGCTTTTCCACTAAATCCATTTAGGCACAACCCTGATGCAGTGGCAAGCAGAGACAAGAAACGGGGCTGTCCAACCGTTCAAGGGTAGAGCACTCGGCTGGCATTCATGAGGTTCAGTTCCCTGGACCAGAAACAAAGAAACACCACCAAAACCAAAACAAACTCAACCAACCAAAGTCACCCCGGACTTAGTGGCTCACTTTTATAATTCTAACACTTGGAGGGTGGAGACAGGAGCATCGAAAATCCAAGGTCATCCTTGGCTACATACAAAGTCTGGGGCCATCCTGGGCTACCTGAGACCATACCAAAACAATAGCAACAAAACATAGAGAAGTCAACTATCACTGTTCTATCATTAGAAAGCTGAGTTTATTGCAACACATCTCTGAAAGACAAATGTGTACATGCAGATTTTTATATATAAATTTTATTTAAATTAGAAGCAATCTTACATATCAATCCCAGTTCCCTCTCCCTCCCATCCTCCTATCCCCCATCCACTCCCCAGGGAGGGTGAGGCCTTCCATGAGGGTCACCAAAATCTGTCATTTGAGGCAGGGCGGAGGCCCTCCCCTGTGTATCTAGGCTGAGAGAGTATCCCTCCATGGGAA